TCGAAGCTGGATCTTTTAATGCTTTAAATAATTCAATTCTGTGAATTATTATATATATTACACTGAAAAAAATGGTCTGGATAGATTAAATAGTAATTCTAATGGAAAATAGACGAATCAGAATTTTCTGGTTAAATCTATTAGAATTCTAGTTGAGATAACTAGAATTCTGATTAATATAATTATTCTGATAAAAATAGGATTTCTAGTAAATTTTACTATAAAATAGAATAAAAAAATAAAATATTAGAAAATTCTGATTCGTCTATATTCAATCAGAAATTTGTGTGTGTGTGTGTGTGTGTGTGTGTGTGTGTGTGTGTGTGTGTGTATACATACTATATTTGTAATCCTTCGAACTGCGCGCCGAATTGTTTTTCCGGACTATAAACGCAATTAAACTACTTTAGTAATCGCGAATTAAATTGACAAGCAATTTTAATAATTTGATGCTCAATCATATTATAAAGATGTTAATATATTGAAAAACTCTAAATAAATTTATTGCGAAAAATATTACTTCGGCCGGAAGTCGAATCTTTTATATTCCGTATGTCTTAAGCCTTTAGACTACCGAGACACAGGGAGAATTTTTTAAAGGAAAAGTTATTAAATCCAGAATAAAATAATATTTGACATCGCGATTTCGTACCAAATGTTATGACGCTACCATTGTGCATTAAACATCGGATAAAGATTTATCTAAACGTAAAAATATATATATTTAAATTATATATGTTACTCTTGTTTCAAGATAAGTCGATCTTATTAGAGCTTACATATATTCTTGGCATTGAAAAATGGACATATTTGGAAAATTTTTTCAGGGAGTAAAATTGAAAAAAAAAAATAAAAAGGAATAAATTGGAAAAATAATAACTCCACGTTGTTTCTTAATATTTTATTTAGATAAAAATTTTTTTCCATATAATTCGGTATATAAGCCCGTAATCTGTAGCAACAATCTCTACACAAAAATTTAGGCTCCATGGATAGTGAAAAACACAAAAATATACAATTTCCAATACTCTTCTAAAATAATGTAATTAAGAGCCATGGATTCAAATTTTTGTATTTGTAAAAAAATAAGAAAATTAGAATTATTTTGAAAAATTTTTTTGTTTAAAATTCAGACTTTTAAATTTATTAGAAAAATATCGAAAATTAAAATAAAAAAAATAGGCCGATGGCCCTTAGTTACAACATTATTTTAGAAGGCGATACTGAAATTTTAATATTTTTAAATTTTTATAGGAAATTAGAATTATAGTTTTTATCTCCATAAAGCCCAGATTTTCATGCAACGACTGTAAATTACGGAGTCTACGTGTAACTAAAATGGACGGAATTTTTTTTTGTATAAATAAAATATCAAGAAGCAACATATACATATTATTAGTTTTTTAATTTATTTTATTCTTTTTCTGAAACAAAATTTCCAAATCAATTTTTCTTCATTGAAAACGTAATGTGTAAGACAAATTCGACACGTTCGACATTCCGGATCACAAATATTAAAATTAGTTCTGATAAAGTGACGAGATCTTATAACTCTCTTTAATGAATTTAAGAATATCCGAAGAAGAATGAGGAATTCCGAAAAATCCTAACATGTTTGAAGTCCATTAAGCGTCCACTTCAGACTTGGAAATCTATAGAGTGACTTATTCTTGACGGATTAACCAAGTTATTCTGCTATGATTGTTTGCTGAGGAAAACTTCAAAGAGAATCAAAACATTCAATACTTTAAATAAAGAAGACATCACGAAAAATTGGAGTTAAGTCAACCTTCCATTAGTATTGCGTATCTTTTCCCGCGACTCTTATTAGCCTTGAATTGGTTATTATTGTTATTTTAAGAAGTGAGAGTCCTGTTAAAATATTTTATTAATATGTAAGCCCTTAATTCGGAGAAGGAATTATTGTTCTAATCTTAATACAATTTTATTTTTACGCTGCAAATGTTGCGATAAGAATACGTCAGGAATACTTTTGTCTTGTTATTATCATACTGAAAGAAAAGATTGGTGGCTGCAGCAAATTAGATAATTAAATATGGCATAGCATTTTTAATTGGCTGCAACAACCAAAAATTGGCTGTTGCATTAATTAAAAATGCTATCCCATATTTTACTATCTAATTTACTGCAACATCCAATCTTTTCTTTCAGTGCAGAAATCCATTTCGAGAAGACATTTTCGTGCAATCGTTTTCTATCAATTGTAATTGAAAGGGAAGGGAAAATTTGTAAACGACATGCACCAGAACGTTCCGCACTGCATGTTAATCGAATAAAACTGTTTTGGCCTTTAGCACATGTTCTCGGTCTCGTTGAGACAATACGTGCTGTCGCGAATTCGTCATTGCAACGTTCATTTGATCTGAAAACGACGTTTTAGAAGCACATTAGTACGTTTTGCAAATAGTTAATTACCTTCGCTTAATGACGCTGAAACTGTTACAGCAGATAGTCTAGAGTAAATAGTACCGTATGATAAGTACAGAGCAAAGCGATAACGTACGCGTAACGCGTTCGAATCGTAAACAGAATCGTGAATTGCGGAGTGAATTCGCATAAATAGCGGCTAAAACCTAACAACCGTATTGTTCTATAACTGTTATGCAGCCAACATCTTTTTTTTTTTCACGGCAATTTACTGCCGTTCAGTCGTGCTCGTGGCACTATAGCGGACCGCGCATTATTTTCAATTTTAATCAGATTTACTTTCTACTTAGAAGAAACCCCGTTGCCCTGGTTTACCAAAATTACATAAACTCTCTAATTGAATTGAATTTTTTTCCATGAAAAACGATGCAGATATCGGGTCAGGAGTAAAATCAGCTAATTAGCGTATAAAACATTCAAAGCAATTTGCTTACTTATATCTAAGAGATCAACCTACTTATACCTATCTACGAGTTACTATCTTATTAAAAAAAAAAATATCGAAAAATATAATTTGTTTTTAAATTGTAAATTATTGAAAGTGAAAGTTTTGTCGAATCGCGATATGCAAATATTAGATAATATATATAACTTTAATTCATCATTTGTCTTTAGTCTCTAATCTACATTTGTTTTTTATTATTAATTTCTAATAATATTGTAAATTATGGTGTTATTGTATAATCTTTAATATTATAATATTAACAAATAAGCTTCATATATTTTATAAGAATATTTTACATTTATAGAGTTGAAATTAATTAAGGTATTCGCTTTGAATAGCTCTTTGCAATTGCGAATGACATTTTGAAAAATGTTTGAAACCCATTGCAGTTTGTCTTCAGCTAACTATTGTACTTAAAAGACGACAACTTATATAT